GGCCTGGTCTTGGAATGACTTTATTACATTGAATGTAGAAGAAAAATAAAATGGGAAAGACATGCTTAACACATTTAAACAATGGAATTGCTGTGCAACACAAAAAATATAAGCTACTATCAACAATTGGGCAAGGACAAGGCATGAGCACTCAGAAAATAAATATTTAAATACATTAAAATGATGAAGGAGATAGAATAAGAGATGACCTAACAACGGAAGCATTGCCAGCAGTAACAAATCCAGCATCCTTAAAGCTTGGTCTAAGCTTCCTCAACTTTGCAGCATCAAACTAGAATGACCAATAAGGCATTAACTATTGTTTGGTGATTGAAAACATGAAGTTACATTGTTGTATCTAAAGTAATTCGTGCTATCAAAATCAATGACCTAAGTTGATTGGCCAATCAGATATTCTTTGAAAGCCAAAAGCTGGTAAGCAGTTTGTATAGCAAATAGATATTTCAGCAGGAACCATTTCTATTCAGTTAAGGGCAACTGAAAATGTTAAATTTGCCGCAAAGGGGGCCATACAATACAAAGAAAGCTAATCCCTAAGCCTGTTCTTTCCCTTGACCTTTGCCAAACTTTCATTCTTATCTACAACTATAGATGGTTTCCCTCTTCCCCCAGAAACTTTAACCTGCAAGAAGGATCATGACTAATGTTCAGTGCATCAGAAACTTCAAATCTTTTCCTATTCAGTGTGGAATCATAACTGCACCGGAACTATTTCCCAAGAAAATAGTACATTATTTTGAGCTGCAATTCCACGCTCAAAGCTCCAAATAGCGTAAGAATCCTGTGAAGAAAGAACAGGTATCAATACAGTAGAACAATTGAATAAATGCAAGCTTCAGTTTGCAAAGCCACCAAGGAAGAGCTAAAGAACAGCAAAGTACATTGGATTAAACACAGTAAAAGGAACACATGAAGTGAATTTGAACATAAAGAAGCATTTTCAGACCAATGGTTTCAACTTTGCAAACAGATTCTGAGCCAATTCAGTGTAGCAACTTATAGGCCATTTTACTAGAAGAAGTAAATTACAGTTTTGAATTGGCACTGATAACCGATTAATTCTAGTTTAGAAAAGTGAAAGACATAAGAATTTAAATTAAACAGACAGATTACAAGATAAGAACACCTGCTCTTCTCGCATTATACTATGCTGATCAGCACAGAATTCTGCACATACTCCCATTCCAAAGTCATTATAAACATCCCACAGGCCATCTTTTACCATGCCATCAACAATGGTGTCGTGTCCCATACGAGACCCTGTTCTGGCCATAAAATAGGGGAACGGAAATTTTTAGCAACTTAAAACGGGAACAACACAGGTGATAGGCAGGATGAGTAAATACTTAGCAAGTAAGAACATACATTAACATTGAATCAAGCATGGATGATGTATCTTGCTTCATTTTTTTATAATTAATTTTGGAGATAGTAGCTCTACGATTGTCCAATATAGATTGTATATTTTATAATCATCAATCAAGAAATTCATCTTATAGTCAAGGAACTCATACTTTGTTAATAATTGTAAGGTATATAATATATGAAGAGCCAACTGAATAACATTTTCTTTTTACACTAATTTTGTTAAAATAAATTACATATTTTACAGTTATTAATAGAAAAAAGAACAAGTTCACACTTAAAGAGAATTCAAATTTTATTAATAATTATAAAATGTACAATACACATAGAAAGTGCTAAACAACATTTTCTTTTTGCACTAATTATGATGTCATGCTCGCCCCTCTGCTACATGACATTTTTTTTTCAGAGCAAAAATGATGATTTTATTGCTTGGGAGCTTAAAGGGTACTCTAACCCATTACATTCCTATTAATTGTCAAAAGAAAGCTCATAGTCAAAAAACTAGTTATAGCAATTATTTACTTTCTCAAGCTCAGCTTTGGCCCCTGTTTCCATTCATTGAATCCAAACCTTGGCAACTTTGATTTTCCTAATATCCAATGGAAAGCTCTTATTTGTGCCAGTTCCATGATTGTGACCTCGTTTTCATTTTTCTTCTAAAGGGTCATCTCATTCCTTGCCAAGCAATTTGCCCATAACACTGGGCACCAAAGAGTTATCCATTCCTTAGAGACTAATTTATCTTTGAATAATGAGAATAGCTGTTGGAAAGCCCCTAAAATTTCGTTAGCCATGACTGAAGCAATTCCCCACCATTGCAAGCACAAATTCCAGACTTTAGAAGCAAAATTGCAATGTAATGGTTTGTGTCATCTTGGTCATCACAAAAGAAACAATTAGTTAATTGTCACTCAAAATGCCTCTTTGAAATAAATTTCTTTTCATACCAATATTGTCTTCTAGTGTTTGCCAACTAAAAGCATGGACCTTTAAAGGTATCAAACGAATCCAAAGCTTGTTGTAAGACCATTCATCAACACTTCTAAAGTTGTCTTTTAGTAATGGTTAAAATCTCATTGGACCCCTCCACTTTAACAAAAAGTTTCTTTTTAATCTCTTTGCTTAAGAAAACCGTTTTTAGTTTCTAAAATTTATTATCCTATTTTTTTTAGTCTTTCGATTATATTTAACATGTTAAATAATAAAAATTTCAAAATAAAAGAATTAAAAAATGATTAAAAAATTTTTTTTGGTCCCTTTACTTAAAAAATTTCATTTTAGCCACTCTTCCATCATCTAACTTGCTATATGTATAAAAAGATAATGGAGAGACTAAAAAAAAGCTGGATACTAAACCTTAGAGATTAAAAAAAAAAATTTCCTAAATAGAGAAACTAAAACAAAAATGATTAAAATAAAAGGATCAAAATGAATTGGTAACCCGATGACCCTGTAGAGTCCATGTTTGTCATAAATCCAAGTCCACTAGTCTCCCTTTCCTCCTTGTATTTCCGCCCCATGACATGTGACTAGTTGTGTTGCCACGTATCTTTCCACATTCATTTACTGTCAACACTCTGCACCACATCTCGCTCTGCTGTATTTTTCATACAAAAAAATAAAAAATAAAGAAAAGAGAGATGCTTTGCGTTGGACGGCAAAATAGTGAGCATTGGTAGATGGACACCGACCAACATTTAAATAATTCATTTTTTTAATAACTATAAAATATGAAATTGATAAATTTTTTAAATAAATATTTTCTCCAACTTAATTACTTGTCACACTTTTAAAATGAAAATAATTTAATTTATTTGTCAATTTTTATTTTAAATATATACAACATTAAAAGAAAAATAAAACGTCTTAATATTTAGAATGTTATGATATTTAATAATTATTATATGATAAATTTAATAAAATTAAGATTTATACTACATTTAACATATTTAATATATGTGATTAAATGTCATAACATTTTAGGTATACAACGTTTTAAATTTTTTTTCTAAAATTAAATTCCATTGATTACTTTAATTAAAGTTAATTAAAGGTAAATATAAAATTTTGACAGACAAATCATTTGAACATGAAATGAAAATAGGAATTTCTAACTTGTGCCCATGGGATATAGGTGAAAAATATATTTATTACATTGTTTCATTAATTTGTATTAAAAAATTAAAAGTAATTTTAATTTTATCAACTCTTTAATTAAAAATATATACATATGGCATTGATCATAGAAATAAGGTTAATTTTTGTGATTTTCTGCAAAAATTAAATATAAAAAAATATAATTAATACATTTTTAACATGCATCTTTAAGAGTAGAGTAAATAAATCCAATGAAAATTAATGAACATGGATGGTATGCAGCACTCCATCTATATATAAAGTAAGAATTCTTTTATA